TTCCTTCATGTTTTAATTGTGTTTCGACAGTGTCTGATATATATATTAACTTGTCCGAACTGTCTGACACGTATTCTGCTGTATCAAACTGTTTCTGACGCTTGGACACTCCCTCATATCTTATGCGGACTAATGATCATGCCGGAGCCCTATTTTGCTTTAAGACTTATGTTTGATTAAGTGATTCAACTAAGATCTCTTGCTCAACTTAAATTTTTTTTCTGGATTGTTTTATATTGTATGCTTCCTTACAGCAAGGACAGCTATGATGACCTGTGATGAATTTTTGTGGATCTTTTTCTTAAATTTGTTGAAATATTCCTTTTCTGTTTTCTCTTTTGGATTATCTAATGTGATAGAATTGTTCAAGTTTTTTTTATCTATATGAAAAACTCTTGACATCTTCCAATTATGTGACAAGAAGGCAATCTTCTTTAAAGGTCAGTTCTCAGTCTCTCTCTCTTTTCCTTCTGATTTTGCTTTGTTGATCTGTTTGTTGTTGATGCAATGGTTTTTGGTTTAGCTTCTATCGGATTTTCTTTTGGAGGCTCCGAATTCGCAGATAATGAAGCGCTACATTTTTGAAGTTCGACATTTGAAAATCATGATGACGTTACTGAGGGTGCATTCTTATTAACTTTACTTTTGCTTCTCTATGATCCTGTCAATGTTAATTGAGTTGAATTGGTAGTCCCAGTGTGTTGTTCATATGACTTCTTTGTTCAACCACCATACACTTTGTACTTCCTGCTGTTTATTGTTGCATCTGAAGACACATGTGGCATGGGTTTATTCATTTTTTTTAAGTTTTAAAATATATTTCGAGTACCATATTTTCATACCCTTGTCCAAATATTTATCAATCGTAGGTTTCTAACATGGATGCTTAAAAAAAAGTCAAAATAACATAAAGCTGGACTACATGATGTTTTGATTTACGAGAACTACTGAATTAATTTGGCCATTCAAGTTTGAATAGATTGGCCTAGTTAATTTTTTATCTCTCTCTCTCTTGCTTCTATGTTGTTCCGACTCGACATTTGTGTACTACGTATATTCAGACATGGGTATGTGGATCTGATCCTCAAAACACATGGAAATACTTAAAAGAATATTAAATATACCCATGTCGGACACATCCAAACCTGATACATTCGAGTTCCAATAACTTGGGTTTTATTTGTTTGTCTGACAAGTTTTAAATGTGCGCTTCCTTGGTAAATATCTTAAATCATGAAGAACTTGTTAAAAAATCGTTTGTTATACGATTTTGCATTTCATTTTCCATTCGTTTTATCATGCAGGATTCAAGCAAAAACATTGAGATTTCTGCTTTCCACATTTTCAAGGTGATCTCTCTCTCTCTCTCTCTTACACACACACTCACTCACTCATCTGACCTTTAAACATTTAGTTTTATATTGATTTTTACACCATTAAGCCAAACCCATTTTTCTGTTTAGTATTAATTGTATTCAATGTCAAACTGTAACATCCCAAATTATGGGTTAGTGATCAAATCGTAAAAGTTCAAAAGTTAGTGATTAAAATAGAATTTATTGAAAAGTTCAGAATTTTAAAGTGAGAAATTCTGGCATTGGATTAAATTGTGAGGAATGAAAGTATGAAGGGTAAGGTGGTCTTTTCATGAAAAAGATATTTATTTCTTATTAAAGGTAAGTTTTCGGTTTAGTTAATTTTTTGTTAATTTTAAGATTGGGTTTTGATCATTAGATGATAACTAAACTTAAGGAAAGCTTAATTTATCTTAAAATCAAAAGATAAAGGAGTTAGGAAAGATTAAAGATTTGAAGTTCTTAAGTGAAATCTTAAAATAGAACTTATAATAAGAATTGAAAGTTGGATTTGATTTGTCATCTATGAGAATAAGAAGTTATAAGTGTTAGAATTAAGTTTGGATAACATGGAAAATTTGGTATGATTCTTAGCTTTAAGAATTTGGATGAGATATGTGAGATAATAAGGTATTGGAATGATAAAAGTTAGTTAAAATGATTGTAGTTGAGTTTAGTGGTATAAAATGAGTTTTATATGAGAAAATTTAATGAAAGTTATGGAATTTTCGGATGAAATAGTTTATTCTGGGCTGGTGCATCGATGCACTATGATTGTGTACCGATGCACTAAGATAAATTTTGAAGGTGCATCGATGCATGGGAATTTCGAACTTAATTTGTGTACCGATGCATCTGTAGTGCATCGGTACACCTCTAAAGGAAAACTGAATTTTTGGGTTCATTAAATAGCTCAAGTTATTAGTATCGAATATAAGGTTTAGGCTTCTTATAATTGTCTTGAAAATTATATTTATGTAGATATTGAGCCTAAACAAGTTCCGGAACAAGTGACAAGTAAGATCGATCGAGGAAAAGGCAAAGGGATATAGGTGAGTGCATACTATAAGTATGGTATAATGGAATAAGACTTGTGATAAGTCTAATTCCTATGTTGATTTTCATAGTACAATAGTTATGAACATGCATACATGATAATTATTATGATACATGCATAAAGTATATATGTTCATATGATTTGATAAATGATATATGTGAAAAGACCCAAATGCACATGTGATTTGATAAGTGATATGAGCTATGTGATCACAAGAGAAATGACATGAATACATGAACACATGAAACATAAGAATAATGCCCATGGTATACGATATGAGAGCTATAGGTATAGTTGGCATGCCAAGAGTCGAGGATTCTACGTGGTACTTCGGGACGTATATGTATCCTTTGGAACATTTACAGGGTCTTTTGAGACATATTTGATCTATTGGAATATGTATATGGTTCTTAAGGAGTGGTCCTTCGGGACAAATACAGTATATAGGTCCTTCGGGACAAAATTCATATGCCCCTAGTGGGACCCCATACGAGCTGTGATGACAGCAATAGTGCACAACCTCAATGTACTCGAATACCTTGAGTTCTCAAAAATGTACATGGGCCTATAAAAGGTTATCAAAGGTAAGTGCATTATTATAGTTATATGTTACCATATTATTATTGTTTATATTGAATTGCATATGACATGATTGAATGAATAGATTGCATGTTCATATTTATATGGAATGCATTATTATTATATTTATGTCTCACTAAGTCTATGACTTAGCGTGCAAGCGATTTACACTTAGGTACTGAGAAGCAGGAAGATCAAAGCTAAGCTTAGCAGAACAACATAACTCCACTGGAAGGTCAGATCAGAAGTAGAGTAAATAGTATGTTTTATTATGTGAAAATAGGTTGGCATGCAAACAAAGTTGGTAAATTAAATATTTATGCTCTGATCAAGTTTTGTAATGTTTTAATCGTATGTAAATGTAAATGTAAATGTAAATGTCTAGTAATGAACAGTTAAATTTTTACAAGTTTTATGAACGTTTTACGAAAGTCATTGTAACAATACTGTTCATAAATACATTTTTGCCTTAAATTTTTATAATGAAGCATAATTCAATAATATATCATCGTATTTTCTTAAAATGAGTTCAAATATTTGGTTATTTGGAAGAACATCGTTTAAAAAGTCAATGTGACATCTCGGACTCGTATCCGGGTCGGGTACGAGTTGGGGTGTTACACAAACTTAGTATTTTTATTTAAAAAAAAATGCATTTACAAACTGGCTGGTTCTATCAATTGAACTGGGAACCGGATGTTTGACTTGTTCGACCTTTGATCAGTTTATTTTTTAAAAGAAAAAAACACGTTTGCAATGAGCTAATTTAACAATTAGACAAGAAAGATGGCTACAAATGTTCCCAATGGCTTTTATCTCTTTCTCCCACTTACATGAAACCTGGAATTTGTGATAATAAATTGTAAATGCTTTACATTTTATGATGATGATTTGGTTAGTTCAGTTTTGAAGTTGTAAAATCTAACAAATTTGAAAAAAACGATTGAAATGATTGATTTCAGTCGGTTTTCAGTTTCACTCGAATTTGTTTGCATTGGGTAGGGTTGAGTAGTGTTAATTGAGTGTGGGTGTGTTTGAATTAAAATGATATAATTTATTTATTTTTAATTATAGATTTGGTATGTAAATAAAAAAAAATATAGCCAGACTGATTGAAGAAACATGTTAAAACCTATATTATGCGGACTCAAATGTAACCAAACATTTGATAGCAATGATTGCTTGAATGTTTAATTGAGATTGCAGGTTTTTGTAGCTAATCCTAACAAGCCAAGAGAGATAAAGAATATTCTGGCAAAGAACCATGAAAAATTGTTGGAACTGCTTCAAAATCTCTCGGGGAAAGGTACTTGATTCTTTTCCAATCCTCTGGCTTGGGTTTATGTGTAACACTCACACATGAATTCGAATAATATCTCGTTACCTACTACCCTTTGTGTGTCATTGAAGGCGCAGAAGATGAGGAATTTGAAGAGGAAAAAGAGGTAATCATCAAGGAAATCCAAAGAGTATCCCGCTTGCCAATTCTGAACAAATAGTAAGCCCCTCTATTTCTAGTTCTCCTACTCCATGAATTTGTACAACGTGTGAAGAACTCATAGCTAGACTTGATTTTATGAATAATCTGTGAGTTTTAAGCTTATATCATGCTAGAGGGGATCCAGGGTTTGTTGTATAATTGAATCATCTTCAACTTTTCTTTTGTTTGCAACGGTGGCTATCACCGATAAGATACCCTTAAGTTGGCGAATGAATGCACAGTCAAAATTTATACAAGTTGGCGAATGATTCCATACAACGTAAGCAGGTTTTGATGGTTTCCAAGTTCAAAATCACCCCGAAAAGCTCTTGGGAATTAATTTTACTAAAAAATAATGCCAATACCATGTCAGAAAATCTTATAAAATAGTATCTTTGATTTATGAAGCAAAACTTTTCAATTTATAATGGAATTTTGATTATGTTTTTACTGTTTCCCCAGAAATTAATAAAGATTGCAACTGACAGAGAAGTCATCTTTTATAAATTGAGAACAGCCCAAACGTAGATGCAGCAAATAAAGGAAGCATAAGCATATTCCATATTCATTTGAAAAACAACTGTGCAACCAGCTTAGTTGTGGCGAGTAAAGTCAAACATGGCACAAATACAAGAATTTTTCAAGTCTGGTAATATTTTTCCTGTTCCTCAGGCAATAACTTCCGGTTCTTTCCCAGTCCACCTTAAGAGAAACGGTGTATAACTAGTTATCCCCGGATCTCAGGACCCGTAAAATGGAAATGAACAAATTCAGGATGTCCAAATACAAAGTGGCTGAGGCCAATATGTAATCATCGTATGTGAAACGTTTGATCAGGTTGTCGGTGTCGTACACTATATACCCACAGAAAATCATGGCACCTATTCCACCATAAACAGCTGTAGATGCTGGTCCAAGTGGGAAGAACATCTGCACAAATAATGGAACACTTGGTCTGATGAAATCCCATATGTGAGAGTGTACAAGCATGAGTAATCATCATATACTGTTAAACCATCTCACCTGGATTACACCAGTTAAGATAAGGACAATAAGGCTGGTGAACAAAATGGGTCCGAGATAGCTAAAGTCCTTGCCCTTCTTCGATGCCCAGAAAGTGTAGCCAGTAAGAGATGCAACCACTGCTGCTGTCAATATTAGCGCTTCAAGCACAGTTCTTCCTGACATTATACAAAAAACAGATGATTAGTATAATTTTTTTTATTTATATCTAGGATGAGGATGTTTGATGACAAGAATCAAGACACTAACCATCGGTATTAGCACAGCTCACACCCACTGTGAGACTCAGTGACACAGTGAAGAGGCTGAGGATAACCAAATTCACAGGGTGCTTTTGGTGATAGACATGCAACGGCCATAACACTGTACGGATTAGGTTTTAAAGTTAAGATAAAGCAGAGAAACGTGGCACAACAGATCAAATAGAACTCAGTAAAACTGTTGGTCTTTTACAACTTATCCATGTGCATGGATGATCTTTGGAAAGTCGTATCGACAAGAGTACTTGAGCAAAATGAAGAACAAGAGCAACATAGTTTAGTTGTCTAGATAACTAAGACCTCAATGACTACCAAGAGTTTGAGACCATTAGAGAAGGTATTGAGCACCAACTCTGGAGGTTTAAGTTTGCAAAATTATTAGAGGAACCAACAACTCCAAATATTTAAAATACAAAAGGCTATATTATTCATAAGGTCTCCATATTTTAATTTCAAAGTCTGAACGGTCCACATCTCTTTATCCTATTCCGACAAACAAACCGTCAAAATGACCACAAAGATCTCTAGTATTAGTGTAGGTTAAGAACAGCAGACAGCGTCATGTTAAAAGCCTATTATAACAAAGGTGGAAAATGAGGTCCTAAACCCATAAATTCCCCATGAAATGCATTAGAATAAAGCGAAGAACAGATAGAATCAATCTATAGAGATAATTGTGGAATGTTATCCTTGTCTAGGGGACAAAGTTTTTGCCAAATCCTTTACTCAAAACATATAGTATACAATATAGTATAAACAAAATGAGACAGCTACAAGTTCTATACCCATAAATTCCCCATGAAAAGAATATGAACAAAGAGGAGAACGGATAGAATCAATATGAATAGGTTTGCAGAATTCCTTTTTCATGGGACAAAACTGTAGTCAAATCCTTTACTCAATCCATATGCTTTAGAATAGTCTAAACTAAATGAGATAGGCATAACTTCTAAACCCATAAATTCCCCATGAAAACATTCGAATAAAGCAAAGACCACATATAATCAATCCATAGAGAATGTTGCAGACTACTGTACTTGTTTAGGGAACAAAACTTTTGCAAATAAAATGAGACAGTTACAAGTTCTAAATTCACTCACCATGAAAGGAATTCGAATAAAGTGTAGAATAGATAAAACCCGTATACAATGACAATTGCAGAATAGTTCAGGGAACAAAATGTTTGTGGAATATTGTCTAAAAACACACTCCATTTCTTTCTAAGATTAGGTATCAGATATTTCAATCAAACTCTACAACTTCAAATCTCAAAATTCTGGCAATCCAAAAAAAATACTCCAGAAACAAATTATGTTCAGAATTCAAGTCAAAGACAATTTATTGATAAATCTAACCTTAATCTAACATTTGAAGGGGATCAAGTTCACAATAAACAAGGAAAAGTCCTCTAATTAACTTACATGCACCAACACACACACATATACTATGTAAAGGAAACCTGAAATGAATTTCATGCACATTCAAGATTCAGTAGGACTAAAAAGCGCGTGGATAAAGAAAGAATGGAAAATGAATTTGAAGAAAGAAAAGAAGGTTGAGGAGTTTACAGATGAAGGGGATTAAACAGAGGAAGAGTAAGAGGCCGGAATTTCCACGGAGGAGATCGTTGACCGGAGCCGACAAAACGACGAAGGCGGAGACGACGGTGGTTAGAATCAGCTGGGCCGCCAGGATGCCGTAAACCTTGCGGATAAAGCCCCAGCGGAGCTGGTTCTCGCCGTAGGTGAGTCCAGGGTATAAAGTCTCCCCTGACTCTAGATCGATCTCATCGGCCTTGCTGCCACTCGTGTTGCTTACGCGCTCGAATCCGTACATCTTACTTTTTAGTTGCTTGTTTTCCCGGAAGAAAAAAAGAAAAGTAGAAAACTGTGGGAAAACTGCTAGAGTGGCGATCTACATTGTATGTATAATAATAATGATGACGTAATCTAGCCAATCAAAATGGTTCTAGGTGGGGACCACATATTGACTTGTAATTTACACTCCCCTTGGTGAAAAATAATTTGTTTCAAATTAATAAAATCTGTTTACAATTATTATATTTTAAAAATGATTTAATTAAAATTAAAAAATCAGGATTAATCAGTTTTAGTACTAGTTTTCTAATTTTTAAATTATTTTTAAAATCTTATAAATCTATATTTTAGGATCTGTATGAACTGTTTTTTAAAAATTGATTATTTAAAAAAATGATAATTTATAATGCTTAGATGACTTTTACGTTTTTTTTATTTAGTAAAATTTTCTTAATTTGTTTTTAAATTTTTTTAATTAAATAAATAAAATATGATATTTTATAATTAAAAAATGTTTCTTTTTATTGTTAGATTTTTATTAAATTTTTTTAAATATTAATATTGAATAAAAATCGAACAATTTGTTAACTTAATTAATGAAAAGAAATAGCACATATAAGTAACATTCATACAAACTCTCTGCTAAATGATTTAAGAGCTCATTTCAGTCAACAAAATAAATAAAGATGAAATATAAAGACCAGTGAGAAATAGAGTTGTTTTATTAGATTAATATAATTTTATTTATCTAGAAAACAGTAAAAATGTTATAAAGAATACAAAGTTAACATGTATGAACTAAATGACCTCAGTGGTTAAAGAAATTATTGTTATTTCTAGAGGTCATATGTTTGAGCACTAGCGACTGCGAGATGTTTGAATGTTCGTTGTCAAATGATTAAGAGTATTTAGAACACATGCTACAACTTATAAGCACCCTAGATTAATTAAAAAAAATAAAATTATTATAGATGTTATTCATTTTATTAAAAGAAGGTTTAAAAGAAAATTTTGTCCCTTAATTTATAAATTTTGTTATTATGAAAAAATAGATAAATTAACTCTCAGCCTTTTTAAAAAAGTTAAGTAATTATCATCTTTAAAAAAAAGTGTCAAATTATTAATTTTTAATAAAATTATTGATTAAAGAAATTTTTACATTTCTAAAAAAATATTCTATATATGTTTAAGTTTTTATATTTTTATTGACGTATGAGATAAATAGTGACCTATCAACATGAAGTTACTGGCAACTACCACATTATTTGACACCTCAACCATTAAATATATAATGTTTAGTAAACATTAAAAAAAAATTTAAAATGATTTTTTAAAAGTTGAGAATCCAATTTAACTCAAGAAAGTAAGAGTTAATTTGACAATGAAGAAAATAAATATAAACTGTAAAGGTGGAGAGTTTATTTTTTCCTTGTATTAAAAAAAAATACAAATTAATCATAATTTTTTTAACCGACTCATTATTATCTTGAATTTATGCAATTTAAATTGATCTAGAATGATTATTTTAATTAATAAAATATTTTTTATTTAAACATAATTATAAATTCTATTATATATATGAATATAAATCTAAAATATTAATGAGGAAAAATATAAAACTTTTATTACATTTGAAAAAAAAAACATTTTTTTATTATTCAAGTTTTATGCAAACTATTACCTGTTTTGTTTAATAAATCAATATTTAAACAAAGATGTAAGTGACGCTTTTCAAGTGAAAAGCTAGAAATATTTTATAGAAAATCAAAAGATAAAAAACTTTGCATAAAATACAAAAAAAATAAATTACATTTAAAAAAAACTCAATTACATTAATCAAACATTGAAAAAAAAAAAAAAAATATTTTCGTAATTCATTTTTATGTTATCAAACACATCTTTGGGGGAATGTGAGATTCCCATGAGAATGGAATCCATACATTCCCCGTTTGGTTAGCTGATAATGTCGTTTCCGGTAATCTTACATTACCAATAATGGATTTTTTGAGATATATTACCGGAAATGTCATTACATCCATTTCCGTAGGTATTGTTGGATTATCGGAGTTTTGGACTAAAATGCCCTTAATTTTTTTTTCAAAAATATAATTATTCTGTCATTGAATAATACAAATTCTACGAATGTTAAATTACAAATTTATCTTTAAACTATTTTAAATTTACAAAAAAAATTTATAATTAAAATTTTATATGAAGTTCAGGGGTTAAAATAAAATTTTACCTTTTCATTAAACCTTTTTTATATTGTCAATTTTGTAAAAAAATATATATAAATTTTATGAATTTAAATTTTTTAAATAAAATATATAAATATTTTCCAACTTATTGAAAAAAACAAAAATATAATAAGGACAATTTGGTAAAATATACATTCCAATAATCTTTTATTCCTTTAACCAAACACGATAATCTTACATTCCTGCTAAACCAACCAAACACAAAAATACAACATTAGTAATCTTATTCCCTTGTTATCTTACATTCCCACTTATAATCTTACATTGCGTGAACCAAACGCACCATAACAGTAACATTAGAAGGCTTGAATGTGATGATTAGGTCGATGGGACAGAGACATGTAATACTCCAACTCAGCCTAGTGACTATTAACACGAAATCTGACAAGTTACTGGCAAACGGCACTAATCCCGGCGATACATCAGTCAGCTGATAAAAAAAAGACTAGGTGGTGCAAATGACATGTCTACAGAGACGGCAATCGAGTTGCGAACAAGATGACAAGTATTGATATGGGTTCCCATTATTTCCAGGTGAACTTCCTCCAGTTTTACGACAAAATAAGAGCAATGCATAACCTACTCACAACTTTCATCATATTCATCATAAAATAAGAGCAATCAACGCAATGACAATCTCAAAGATGTTCAAAACATATCCAAAGAAATCAAAATAGCCACTAGCCCACTATCAATTTCTCTTTTCCATTTCATTATTAAAAGAATACAAAAGCTATGTTGCTTCGACTCTTCATTTTCCCTAAAATACCTATGTCTGATACCCCATATAGGTTATGATTCTGCAAATATAAGAAAATAAAACTTGGGAAAAAATTGAGCAGATCCGTGTCGGATGCTGACAGTCACTTCTGAGTCCAAGAAACACAGTATAAGCATTACAACATAAATTACTGAGAATACTTTGCTTAATTTATTTCTAGTACCTCATCCAAACATGGTTCAACAAGATGAGCATTCCTTTGGCAAAACTTGGTAACAATTGAATGGCATATGCTGAGATTAAGTGCATAACCTAATCTAAACATAAAATCTAAAACAAGCAAAGAATCATCAAACCTATCTCTTTCTGAGAGACACCGAACCAGTTTCTCAAGAGTCTTTTGTTGCGGTTTCAGTTGATTCTTCAGCATCTCTCTGAACCATTCCAGTCCCTCCGCAACATATCCTTGCTCGCATAATCCAGCAATAACGTGATCGTGAGTACAAACTTTCAGTTCTACACTCCTACTTTGCATATCATTCAACAAATTTTGGGTTTCTTTGATGTGACCAGCTCGACATAGATTTTTTATTATAGGGGCATATGATGAAGCAGATGGCTGTAAACCCTGTGCTAAGAGTTCGTGAAGCAAATCCAGACTCTCAACAACTTTCCCTTTCATGCAAAAGGCCCGGATCAGATGATCAAATGTGATTACGTCACGAACAATGCCCTTTTGAGGCATTTCTTTGAATAAACGATAAGCCTCATCCGTCTCTCCATGGAAACAAAACCCTGCAATCATGGTATTGTAACTCACGGTTGTTTCACCATAACCTTTTTCGAGCATCTCCTTATATAGCCTCTTTGCCTCTTTGAGGTCATGAACCTTATAAAGCCCGTAAAGCAGTGCACTGTAAGTGTATTCATTCGGAAGCATTCCCATATTAATCATCTCAAACCAAAGCTTTCTGGCTTCCCTGAGGCTCCCGATCTTACATAGTCCGTGAATCATTGTTGTATACATGACCCTATCCAGAACATACCCTCTATCCTTGAGATCATTGAAAATCCGAAAACCTTCCAGCCACTTTTTGTTCTTACAGAGTCCATTGATGACTTCCTGATATGTATGTATATCTGGAGCACGACCTGTAGCAATCATTGTGTGAAGAAGTTGGGATACTCTACCGTAGTTGTTGGTCTTACAGAAGGCAGCAATCAATTTTCGAAAAGCAGCCGTATCGGGCACCAAACCATCAACCAAAATCTGCTGAAGAAGCTCGAAACCTTTCGAAGCTTTCCCATCAATACAAAATGCTTGAATCAAACACCCAAGGGTCCCAACATCAATATTAGCCCCGACACCAGATTCTATCATATCCTGATACAATTTCCAGAAAAGATCGTTCCTACCGACCCTAAGACAGGCCAATAATGCTAAATTCCAAGTTGCTATTGATGGACAATAACCAATCTTATTCAAGATGGATAACACATCAACAGCTTCTTCAACCAATTTGTTTTCACAAAGACATCTTAAGTAGCATTCTAAAGAATGCGGCTTGGGGTCAAGACCGGTCTGATGAAGAAAATTTCTTGCTGCTTTGCAGGCCTTAGCCTCTACAAGCTTATCAAATAGCAGATTACAGGAATCAAAGTCCGGCGAAAACTCGTACCTCGACCGCAGCCAATGAAAGAAATGCAGCGAGAAGAAAACATTTTCTTGCTGGATCACAAGCTCACGAAAAAACCACGGTTCAGAGAAATTGAAAGAGGGAAAAATTGAAAGTAGAGTTTCCTCCCATCTAGGCATTGTTCTAGTAATCTTGGAAACTTGTTTAACAATGGCTAAATCCGATTCACTAATGGAATCATTCAATAGTTCTTTACATTGCTTTTGATTCTCTAAAGACTCCTTCACGATAAAACTAGTTTCTTTGGATTCTATAGTGAGATATCTAATTTGGGTATTAGGGTTTTGGGCAGTTCTAGGGTTTTGCCTAAGGAAATTTAGGAGAAAGGATGAAGGTTTAGCCATGGGGTACCAAGGTTTTGACCTAATTTCATAAAGAGGGAAGATTTAAGGTAAAAGAAAACTGAAATGAAAATGGATTAGAACTTACTGAGAGATGGGATTTGAAAACCAACGATGGAATCACTTTTTTTAAAAGTTTAATTTGAGTCTGCTTTAATTTCATCAAAGGATAGTTTCGGTTGTGGTTGACCATTTTCTTAATTTTTGAAAACAAATTTTTTTTTAGGGTCAGTACAATACAATATTTAGTTTTGTAGTTAAGTTATTGGCTTTCATCTGTTTTAGTAGTTAAATTTTTATTTTTTTTAAATTTATCCTTAACGTTTACTTTTTGTTTCATTTTAGTATCAATTATTAAAAACTTAATAGACGGGCTGACGTAGCATAGCTCCGACGAACAGACGACCAATCCGAACGGTGGACCACTAGAGAATGACGAGCCGACCAATATAGTCTAGTTTCAGGCCTATCGAACAGTGGACCATAGATATCAAAGGATGAAGAAATCGAAGAGTTCATCATCAATTTTGAGAGATTTAAGTGTTTCCTGATAAAACAAGGACCAGAATCGTGTTTAGGGGGTAGAAAAGGTGCGGGTTGGAAAGCTTGGACTTCATCAGCTGATGGAAACGACGACTATAGATGCGAGGGTCGACGAGCTAGTTTGTTAAGTTTTTAACGGCAATGTACTAAAATGAAACAAAAAATAAATATTATATATGATTTTGAAAAAATTGAAAGCTTAAGTACTAAAATAGATTAAAATTAATAGTTTAATTACTAAAGGCATAGTTTACACTTGATTTTTTAAATGATTTTAGTTTAGGGTAAATAATTTTAATTTCTTCAAATTAAATAATTGAAGGTGAAATTAATTTAGGGTTAATTGTATCTTATGTCTCCTAACTATAACCCTTAGTTTAAATTGGTCTTTAAACTTTTGAATATTTTAATTTCATCCTTAAAGTATGACTTCATTCTAAATTAGTCCTTAAACTTTTAAACATTTTAATTTCATCCCTAAACTATGATTGTCTTTCTAAATTGGTCCCCAAACTTTTGAATCTTCCAATTTCATTCCCAAATTCATCCAAATATTTAATTAGTCTCAACCATAATTTAAGCTAAATTTTGTTTTATTTTCAAACATATTAATAATATAACTTGGCCTGACAATTTTATTAACAAGGGATGTGATTAGTATGTACGTATAGTTTGGGATAAAATTGAGATGTTCAAAAAGTTTGGGACCAATTTATAATAAAGGTCATAATTTTGGGATGAAATTGAAATACTCAAATTTTTAAGGACTAATTTAGAATGATAATCATAGACTGATAAACATGTGATGCTATTAACTCTTAATTTCACTTAAAAAATAAGATATATTTAAGTGAAAAAATTAGTTTTCAATTTTGAGTTGTGTCCCTCAAATTTATATGTATGTATATCATATATGCAAAAAATATGGAGAAATATATATGTATTGTATATAGTTAAAAAATAGTTTATATTATAATCAAATAGTACTATAATATTATAAATATTTACAATTAAATTTAAACAAAAATTTGAACAACTCGACTAGACTTGAATTTTATAAACTCGACTCGAAAAAATTTCAAACAAATTTTAAGTTATAGAATAAGAATTATCAACTTAAATAACTCAAATTTTTTTAACTCAACTCGATCGAACTCAACACTAATATTTAATACTTATGAGTGGAAAAGTGCTTTTAACCTTAAAAATATTTTTCAAAAAGCATTTTCAAACTTTAGACGAAGTTGTGCATGGCATTAGCTTCTACTATTGTACGTGTCATTACTTGGCATAATGTTACAAAAATTATAATTGGAATTGAGGAAGCAAAGGCATTAACTAGAAATTTCTTATCTTATGAAATTAATTTTAATTATGGAAAGTTGAGAGATTTTCTCAACGATGCTCTGCTTATGGAGCAATCGATGATTTCAACACCTATAAGTTTCTTCTTGTTTTTCATCAATGGAAAACAATGAAGAAGGGATTTTCGATGGCCAATTTAGTATTTATTTTTCTTCTTCCTGTTGTGTAGTTCAAGTTCACGGATTACTTTCCTTCGATTTAAAACCTGAATTTTCTCATGATTCTGAAGCTTCCAAATTTTCCCAAATAACCCAACAGTTTTCTCTGAAAACTCCGTTAAATTCTGTTGAAACATTTTTATTTTCAGATTATGAAACCGACTCAAATCCTTCGTTTCCAGAATATGAATTTCCTCAAGGTTCACTACAAGTCCAAAATTTACCCTTTGAAACCACTCAATCTTCAGAATATGGATTTTCCAAGGATTTTGAACCCTCCGATGAGCCTTTTGAAATCCAACAAATTTCTTTTCAAATAGATTCACACCATAAAATCAGATTGCCTCCTCCATCACCATGTCCAGCAAACGTTTGTGAATATAAGTGTTCGATAAAATGTCTGAAAGAAAACTTCCCTCTTCTTCTCAACTTGTGCAACAATGTCTGCAGGTCAGGATGTTTCTTCAATTACTCGGAGCTGATCTTCCACTGTACTGATCATTGTGCAGTATTAATGCCCCAACAATTCAAATCTAGTAAAGACCGCTCTTTTGTTTTGGTATCAAATATAATTTGCATTGATTTCTGATTAAAAAAAAGCTCAAGTTTTATCTGTGTTTTGCAGATGAGAAGGAAGCAGCTGGATATTTGAAGTACTGCTACAAAAAGTGCATCAAAGTTTTATAGGCTGTTGTAATTTGATGTTTTAAAATGTTGGAAATTTGAACAAGAATCCCTTAGATTTACCTATTTTATAGATCTTGGTTGAAATGAGTAATTATGTTTTTATTTTTGAATTCCCATATTTTGTTTATGTCAATTAGATTTTTGGGTAAACTATGTATTCACCCAAATATTTATGCGGTTTCATTTTGGTCATCCAACAATATTTTTTCTCCAAAAATCATATCTATTTGTTACATTTTGATTTAATTTTGGTCACATGCAGTTAGAAAATTAATAGAACTACTGATGTAATATTTTTTTTTATTTTTTTAATGATAACGTGGTATTACTTTATGGTGACACATCAGTATCATAATTAATTTTTTAATGGTTAGTGAGCAAAATGAAATTATTTTTTCTCCAAAAATCATATCTATTTGTTACATTTTGATTTAATTTTGGTCACATGCAGTTAGAAAATTAATAGAACTGCTGATGTAATATTTTTTTTTATTTTTTTAATGATAACGTGGTATTACTTTATGGTGACACATCAGTATCATAATTAATTTTTTAATGGTTAGTGAGAAAAATGAAATTAAAATGTAACGTTAGGTATAATTTAAAAAATATAATTGGATGACCAAAACAAAATTATGTGAATAGTTAGGTGACTTCTATATTTTTTTTTCAAATTTCCAATGAAAACTATTATATTCATTTGTAGGACTTTTGATTTAAAAAAAAAAAAAAATCAATCCAAAGTTATTGATATATACATTGATTATTTATATATTGTTAAGGGTAAAGTATCAAAATAGTTCTCGGCTATAGAGTATTACTATATTGAATCTCTTGACTATTAAAAATTATAAAATAGTCACTTGATTATAGGATATTATTTTGTTGAGTCTCTTGACTATTAAAAATTATAAAATAGTCACGCGACTAGTCATATATTTCAAACTCGTCCTTTTCTGCTAGAAAAATAACGATCATGTGAGTTGGATGGTAACATGTTGATTAGGATAAGATAAAATCTGATCATAGAACTGTATGAGTTGTATTTTTTAGACCGACTCTCTATTTACATTGTCGCCGAGCTAGTTCTTGAAATATTGTATTGTAGAGCCTATGCTTGAAAGTAACAGCGATGCTAGTAAATATAATTAAAATATGATTTTATCATATCTCAATTAATAGGTTAACGTTCAAGTCAGACGACAGTCAATGTTTTTGACAGAAAAAGATTTAAGACATATGAATAGTCAAGTAACTATTTTATAACTTTTTAATTTCAGGGACTCAAAAAAATCTTATAATCGGTGACCATTTTATAATTTTTATAGTCGAGAGACTCAATAAAACAATACCCTATTGTTGAAGAACTATTATGTACTCTACCCAAATGTTAAAAGATTTAAAAAATATTTGTATTATGAACAAATTTTTAAATAAAATATTTTTTTTATCAAATAAACAGGATTTTATGCGTGTCAAACCAAATTAGGATAGAGTTTAACGACAAAGTGAAATTTGTATGTAGAAAATTAACAAGAGGGACAAGTTTAAAAAATCCATAAACATAAAGGGGCAAAAACATTTATCACTAAATAGGGGTTGGGTATTCAATATTGTTCTTTATAGCATCATGAAAAAAGAGAGAATCATTCAGCAGTTATTACCAGTTGAAGAAGAAGCTGAAATCCCAGTTCTTCCCCAAGAAATCATGGTGGAAATCCTTTCAAGATTACCCATCAAAGCGCTTTGCCAGTTCAGGTGCGTCTCAAAACAATGGCTTTCTCTTATATCAGATCCCCTTTTTGCAAAATCCCACCTTCAAAAAACCATTAGAAATGATTGTTTTTATTCTCAAAGAAAGAGGGTATTGATTTCCTCACACAATTTATACTCTCTTGAGTATGCATCAATTGGTAGACTCGATGAGAATTTGGTTGCTTTAGAGCTTGATTATCCTTTGAAAGACAAGTCAAATGGATTAGCTGAGTTGTTAGATTCCGCTAGAGATGGTTTTTTGTATTGCGAAAGAAGTGAAGAAGATAATGATGAAGTTCCAGTAATGGTGAAGCTAAATTTTCCGTTCTGTGTGAATCAAAGGAATTGGGTCGATATCTTAGGTTCTTGTAACGGTTTGGTTTGTATTGCTCCAGATGAAGATACCCTGTATTTGTTCAATCCTTCCACTAGAGAATCCAAGAGAATCCCGGACCCGCCTTCCAGTTTAGCTTCAAATGGTTTGAGTGTTTACGGTTTTGGTTATGATTTCTTGAATGATGATTACAAGGTAGTGAAAGTATGTTGTGGAACTGTTTGTGTTTATTCATTGAGAACTGATTCTTGGAGGATGGTTTGTAGTTTCCTATATGATGATAATGTGTATGAATCTGGAGTTCTTCTCAACGGGTCTATTCACTGGATAGCCAGCTGTGGAGATGGGGCGGATTTTACGTGCGTGGTTGCTGCTTTTAGTTTGGAAGAAGAGGTGTTTTCAGATTTGCCAGCACCTGACATTGTCGATACTAGCTCTGAGTTCATGATAGGGGTTCTTAATGGTTGTCTTTGTGTGCTTCATAGCCGCAATCAGATGCACAATGATTTCTGGGTGATGACCGAGTATGGCGTGGGTGAGTCGTGGACTAAATTGACCCTCAGCCTCTCGTACATTTGCATGAAGCCATTGTGTATGGCTCAGAACGGTGAAGCTCTGCTTGAGGTTGATGGGAAATTGTTGCTGTATAACTTGGAAGACGACAGTTATAGGTACTTAGTAGTAAATGGAATTCCGGAAGGGGACGGTTTTGAAGCTGATACCTACTTGGAGACCCTTGTTTCACCCAATAGCTTCTTTCGGACATGAATTCAGATGCAATATTGAGTACAAATGAAATTAAGAACCTGTGGACATTGGTAAGAGCTAAAGATGATAAACTCATTGCATCTTTTCCGATTATGCTCTCTACCAAATTTGTGTAAATAATGTTCTTTTATTTGTTCTTGGCCCTTCTCTGGATATATCCCGTATTCTGCTTATATTATAGAAGTTGTTGAGTGCAAATGATATTATTAGAATACCCTATGCTATTTGGACCTGAGTGTGAGCATCGGATACTGGTATGTATCTTCATGGATGTGGTTGGAATTTTCCGAGTATTCCATGTTTTTAGAAGATTTTGGAGGTTATATCTCTATCCCCATGTGTCAGACATGAGTACTATAAGAAAATTTAGGAGTCCAAGCAACATAGAGAATACCAATTGAACTGCTAATCTTTCATGTTTTCCTTTTCCCAACAAGAAGGTTGAGTGAGATCGCCAAACCTCCATGGTATCTATCATTGATATGTAACCATAATGTAGCCTTACGATGATACTTTTATTATGATTTTATGCATGTTGTGGATTATTTGATATTGAATTCTACTGATCCTTTAGTTAGAATCTATATTGTTTGGACTTGGGGACGAGTGTCCGGTGTAAGTAGCGTCTAACAGGAGTATGCTTTACTCGTTTCCAAATTTTTTTCTCTCATATATTTGAAGGATCTTACCACGTACTCATGTAAGAAGATATGTCGGATATAGGTGCTTGACATAGATACCTCAAGAAAAAATATAGGGTAGAACTTTTTTCATCCTTGGGCAAATGGTGAGATACTCCTGCTTTTATCTTCATGTTGGTATGTTGGCAATACTAGTAATTGTTTTTCGGCCTTTTTTCAATCAACTTTTCAGATTGAAGGGATCCTAAGGAATGGGTTGGAAGCAAAAACCCCCGGTTTAAGATTTATGGTAGGAACATGATCGCTTGGTCCAGGGGAGAGGGCGACTCTGTGAGGGTTTAGAAGACGGAAATTGCAAATATTTGGATCATAGTTGAACCATCTTCCTGCTGATGGTTTAAGATTTGCATAGTTTCAACTTTAACTCAAAATTCATGTTTAGGTCACAGAGGAGAATCGATACTTTGGATCATGCTCAGCGTCCATGCCATTTGTTAATGAATTTTAGGAATTGATACATATATGATATATCAAGCACTGTCTTACATATCTATGTTTATACGCGCCGCGCGTGTGTATTAATATAAAATATAAATAAATTTTTAAATATTTGTATTAATGTATAATTAGTTTACTGATTCAATAATTAAATGGATGAATTTAGAGTTAAATGATAATGATAAAACCATACATAACTATAGAGTCGAGTCAATTTTTTTTTTGATAATTATATTATATTAATCTTGCGTTATATGATTTGGTAAATATAAGAGATGTTGTTCATATGTGTCAAAAGAAATAATTTGAATTTATTACAATTAACGTTCATATATTTGTGTATGCAATGCTCGAAGCTAAAACCTCAAGGGACAATAATGATTTCTCAACTATTGAAGTTGTTTGGTTCGTGTAAATTTGAATTGAAAATATTAAATCTCTAGAAAAATTATCAAATAATTCAATAAAAAGCTGAAAAATTAGTTCAAATACAAGGGATAACTCCATTATTTAAAATATAAAAAACACCACATATTTCAAGCCTGCAGCATGCAGTGCATTAATCAGTGGGTCTTATTCTTCTTAGCCTTATTCAATTCGGCAACATAATCGAACAAACTTCCATCAAAACAACCCCACACTGCTTCTTTTGATAAATAACCATTTTCATCCTTTGCAAGCCGATATAAAAGCGTCCATTCCCCCTTCGATATTATCCTGAAAAACAGTTCAAAAAAATCTCAGAAAACAAGTTAAACCATTTATGGAATTAAAAACACGAAATACAAAGAAAATACCAGCCGATGAAATCGTATTGGTTTCGATTAGCCTCGGTTATGTGCCACACTTCTTTGAAATGTAACTTGTCGGGCACGGTTCGAGCGTACTTGCTGAAGATGTTCTCGAAGTTCATTGGCATGAACTTGAAAATCCCAAGGTTCAAAATATTTTTTTTGTTTCTTTATGGTTTTTTTAATGATTCAGATGTTATACGGTGATTGCCTTCCTTCAGTGTCGTATGTCGCTGTGTCACTGCCATGCTTGCATTTGTAAGAAAAAGACTAAGTATGTGTGTGTATAAATCAATTACATCTTATCAATATTTTACTAGTGTTGAAATTTGTAAGAAAAACTAATGTAACAAAATAATTTTCAAAATCTTTTAAGAGATTAGATATTTAAAAAAAATATTTTTAATTGATAAATACTCATTTTTAAAAAAATTATAATTAATATAATCATTTTAAATTCCAAAATTTGAAATTAAATTGTATCCCAACAAATGATTTTGGCTTCATCCTTGCCTATGCATATGCCTATGGGTGACCAAATGAGCGGAACCTGGAAAATCAGCTCAAAATATTCAAGCCCGGATGATTCAAGATTCAAATATCTCAACCCGGGATTGACTTAAATAAATTGAACTTGAGCATGAAACTATCTAAATTCAAGAAGATTTAGAGAAAACTCAAATTAAAAGGCTAAATTACGCGAGTGATTTTTTTATGTTTTCAGTTTGTTCGATTTTAGTCATCGATTCAAGAAAAGAACAATTCTTTTTTAGTCCTTCGACTGTTAACTCTCGTTAACTCATTAACGGAAGGGAGAATTGACAATTAAAAAATAAAACAAAAATCATGTGTCTTCTTCTTCTTAAAATTAAAGAATAAGAAAAGGAAAAAAACACATGGATTTTTTTTAATTGTCAACTTAGACTTCTGTTAATGGTTTAACGAGAGTTGACGATAAAGGGACTAAAATCGAACGGATCGATAACATAAGAGATCAAAATCATTCTTTTTTTCAATAGGTGACCAAAACCATACAAACCAAAAATATAAGGGAACTCTCATGTAATTTACCTAATTAAAAAATACTCTAACCTAAAATAGTTAAAGAATTTAAAAATGTAAAATAATACAAACTCAATATAATACGAATCAAAGTAGCCCGGATCTATCTGACTACCACCACTAGATATGAAGAACCTTCTACTGCACAAAAATGCTAAACAAAAATAGAATATTCAGACCTAAGTTTATATTTTTCATAAGTTGTCGTCACTGTTTTTCGCCTGGGTGAGAAAAATACTAGTAGATTTAGGGATTTTTCTTTGAAAAGATTTTTGAAATGTGAGGAGTCACCACCAACCATTTAAAGTGCGATTGGACCACCATAAAAATCGGGTGATTTTAATAAAATATTTTATTTTACCAAAATATCGAGTTTTGGGGTCTATAAAAATCCAAAAATCAGGCTCGGGAGTCGGTTACGCACTAACCCTATAATGCCTAGAAATTAATACCTAGTTGATTACCCTATTTTGAAATTTGGAAATTTTGAGTTTGAACTTTATTTAATCAAAAAATTCACTATGGATGTACAGTTGAAAAAGATGTTTGATTATTTAAGCCAATAATATTCGCCCCCTAGCATGAATGCGGGAGATCAATTATTATGCCCAATAATCGAACATTGCCTTGGAATTTTTGAAACATGATAAGGTTTTCGAAAAGGATGTCAATATACTTCAGGAATCACTAGCGGTCACCCCTGAGCATAATGCGGAGGGTATGCCATTAACTCCTTGATAAATCAACATTGCCTTGTTATTTTAAATCCAAACGCAAGCAAACAACTTTTCATTGTACCTAATTATGCTAGGTGAGTTAATTAGGATTTTCCCTAACCTACAGTGTCAAATTATGTACTTTAAAGAACCTAGAGGACTAAGCCTAGAAATAGAGACTCTAATATTAATCCTATTTGATTTTAACCAATTATTGGATCGAATAATCGAGATACTCCCTTAAGCATGAAGGCGAGGGCCAACTTAGATTACTCCCTCAATTAAAAGACTAGAGTGAAATTTAACCTAATGCGGAGGTTCTAATTAAAAACCTAATTAATTATGTTAAGAGAAAACCTAATTAAAAGTCTAAGGGATAAAGTAAAAAAGAATCTAGATCTAAAGGGCTAACCCCGAAGCCCAAGGTTCTAATTAATGACTAAATTAAAAGAAACCTAAATCTAAAGGTTCAGTCTACAAAGTTAAAAATCTAGGATTAAATTAAAATAAAATAAGATACAAAAATTGAGAAAATTGCAAAAATGGATAAATAAGAAATTAAAGGATTAATTAGAAGATGGGAAATTAAAATAAATAAATCAAATCACCCATTAAGATGTAAATTAACAATAATTAAAGTCTCACATTCAAAATAAAAATTAGTGGCTAAATTTATATGAAATAAAGTCAAACATCAAATTCACGAAGGATAAAAACATGCAAATAGGGACTAACATGCAACAAAAATAAAATTCAACAGCCAAATAAACAGAAAAACAATAATCTTAAATTAGTGACTAAATTAAAAAGTAGCTACAATTAGGCATGAAAAAATCAGAATTATGACAATGACCAGAATATAAAAGCACATCTAAATAAGAGAGACCAAAACACATTTTTCCATTTTAAACCTAGCAAACTAAAGGATAAACATAAAAGGAAAAATCATGCAATTAGGGCACCAAAACTTAAAATAAAATAAACAAGCTTAAGATCAAGGACTATGATGTAAAAATACAACAAAAATACAGGGGCTACAACACGAATAAACCATGAATTTAATTATGGATAAACAATGAAAAAAGGTAAAATAACAACATAAGGACATGAATATCGAATTAAAATAAAAAAGGACAGATGGGTGACCATTTTGTAAAAACAAGGATAACCTTGGGGGACCTGAAAGTAAATAAACCAAATATTAATATTGAAAAATAAAAGGGAAAATAGCAAAGTAAGGACAATCAAATTAAAAATTAATGAAATAAAAGAAGAATGGTGGTTAAATTGCATACAAAATATAGTTACAAAGATCGCATAGAGGGTAAGACCCTCCGGGTCTTAAATGCGCGTGTGGAAGCCCAAAACGACGTCGTCCGCTAGGGTTATATAAATCCCTTTTTCCTATTTTTTCTCATTTTTCTTCTTCCCTCTTTTTCCTTCCATAAAATGCTCTCCCCTCTCTTAACTTTCTAAAAGCCAGCGACAGATGTCGCCTTCCCCGATTACCGCCGATCATCGTATCGACCGCCGTCTCCGGTGGCTGATCAGGCCCAAAACTTTAGAACTGGCTTTCCTCGACACCGTGGTCATGGATCCAGGCTCAGGTTTGTGAAAAAATGGCCCCCAATACCACAAAATAGGTCGAGAACCTTTCGACTTCTAACGCTATATCTGTGCCGTCCACCGTTGGATTGTGGTGTCTTTGAAGGATATTGCTCCCCTCCTCCATGTGCTCCTCCTCACCATACAGATTAACCACAATAAACCTCAAATACCTACAAACAACACCAACCAAGAGGTAAAAAAACTTTATTTCTTTTCATTTCATTTTTTTCTTCTTGCTTCGAAAATATTATAAAATAAATAAGTGTTTGTGCTATTGATTGTTTCGAATATGGGGGAAGAGAAGCTTTCTCTGATTTTTTGAATGGAGGGGAGTGATTACATTGCTTATGTAAAAAATGAAAAGGGAGCCCCTTTTACATTACATTACTTTCAATCCAAAAAAAGAAAAGAAAAAAGTAACCCCTGATTACATTGCTTTCTTTGGGTTTTATAACAACCCTATTACAACAATAAAAAATAAAAAATTACATATATGATTTGGGTACTGTTGGGATAATTTGCAAGGAATGGAGATGGCAGGGAGATGGTGCAACAACAGTAATCAGGGCATTGAATACCCTAAATATTTAGGGATTACTTTGCCCTTTTTTCTTTTTTATGATTTTTGGGTAATAATAATAATAATAATATAACACTAAATATTTTTTTGGGATAAAAATGGTGATTACAATTGCTCCTCTTTGCTCATTATTGTGGAGCAGGAGTGAAGCAAAGATAATAAACACCATTTTTATCCAGCCTAAAATGCTGAAGTTCTTAAGCTACACGTTCTTCTTATTATGAACTCTTCACTCTCATAGGATGAACTCTTCTTTAGGAACGCAGACCATCTCATTCTATGATGGAATCGAGGAAATGTGACATTAATCTAACTCCTTATGTGATGGATGATTCAAGGTTTGAACAAGTTATTCTCATTATGAACTTATTCTCTGGAAATGTTGATCCACCTCATTATGTGATGGACGAAAAAAGGTTGAACAAGCTCTTCTTGTTATGAACTTCTTCCTCCTCATCAGACGGGTTATTCTCATTATGAACCCTCTAATAGAAATATTGATCCACCTTCTTTTATGATGGAATCGAACCAAGGTTGAACAAGTTCTTCACATTAAGAGCTTATTCTCTCTTGATGGACGAGTTCTTCTCTTTACGAACCCTTCATTGGATGAGTTATTCTCATTACGAACCCTTCATTGAATGAGTTATTCTCATTATCTTCTTTAGGAACGCAGACCATCTCATTCTATGATGGAATCGAGGAAATGTGACATTAATCCAACTCCTTATGTGATGGATGATTCAAGGTTTGAACAGTTATTCTCATTATGAACTTATTCTCTGGAAATGTTGATCCACCTCATTATGTGATGGACGAACAAAGGTTGAACAAGCTCTTCTTGTTATGAACTTCTTCCTCCTCATCAGACGGGTTCTTCTCATTATGAACCCTCTAATAGAAATATTGATCCACATTCTTTTATGATGGAATCGAACCAAGGTTGAACAAGTTCTTCACATTAAGAGCTTATTCTCTCTTGATGGACGTTATTCTCTTTACGAACCCTTCATTGGATAAGTTATTTTCATTACGAACCCTTCATTGAAGAGTTCTTCTCATTGAAACTCTTCATTTATCCACCTCGTTGTGCGATGAAGATTCCAGGTTGAACTAGCTCTTCTTATTACGAACTTCTTATCCCTTGTTGGACAAGTTCTTCTTATTACGAACTCTTCCACT